AGAGCAGTGGCAGCACTGGTTGGATGGTCCCCACTTGTCCATGAGGTGTAGCAGTAGAGCAGTGGCAACACTGGTTGGATGGCCCCCACTTGTGCATGAGGTGTAGCAACAGAGCAGTGGCAGCACTGGTTGGATGGTGACGGCAGAGGCTCATGCATTTAGAGTAGCAGCCTTTGGTCTGTGGTTGGTACTGAAATTCTGCCATCTCAGCCTTCCTCCCAGACAGCATTTGGAAATGGTGGGTGGGTGGGTGGGTTGGTTGGTAACAAGGCCTGGGATCCCACTGGCATCTGGGTCTCATGCTCTCTACAGGCCCTTTCCAGTTCTGAGTTTCTATAAATGAGTGGCTTTTATGTACCTGTGTCTAATGGTACCTATCAGCAGGAAGGATATTTGATCCAAGTTTGAGGCCTAAGTATCTTTTCCCCTACATTAGCCCTCTCTAACTGTTCTCCCTTCAGTCTGTTTTACCTCCCCGCTGTTCAGCTTCTTTAGTCTTATCACCAGACTCATCTTACTAAAATACAGAATTGAGAGCACTCAGCTGTTTAAACATTTTAATAATGTTGCATTTTCTGCCAGGATAAATTCCAGCTTTTTTTGTATGGCATAGAAACCCTTTACACTTTGGCTTCTTCTTGCCCTGCCAGATTCCACATCTCGCTAATACAGGGTACTGTAGAATGAATAGAGTGTAGCCGTACTCATATGCCTTCATGCATTTGTCTTTATTGTTCTTGTTGTATCTCTTCCACTTTAAAGAGCTTTTTGTGTTTCACCTATCAAAGAAGATTCTATAAAATCCCACCTGACTTGCTCCTCCAGTTGTGTTCCATACCTGTTCTCTAACCATATGCATACCTTCTCTTTCTTGAGAGAGAGAAGCAGACTTCTTCTTTCTCCTTCAGGGACCTTACCTAGTTACCCTTCTGCCTGAAATTCGGTTCTTCTGCTTCATCCACAGAACTCTTAGAAATCCTTCAGGTCTCTGCTGTCAGGTCAGCTTCTGTAGGGAATCTTTCCCTGACCCAAGATTAGATTAAGATATTTCCTTGAAATGATTGTGTAGCATCCTGTAATTTTCTTACAGAAATTGTCCTCCAGTTGAAATTATAGAGCCTTTTGAGTGTCATTAATTCACTGATTGTTTTCTTTGTTAGAATTAAAATTCTGTGAGATCGAGGACTGTGGTCCATCTTACTCAATAAGCCAGCCTTAGTGCCTACCACAGTGACTGGGATACATCAGGAGCTTAATAAACACCTGCATGGATGCATAGATAACAAAATCCTGATTGCCCAGGAAGTGTGCTTACCATTCTTTGCTTTGGCCTCTTGTATTTTATTCTCTGTGTTATAAAAATGTTCTCTCTTAGAGTTCGATGAGAAGCAGGGCTGGTGTGCCTTACTTTTGTATTATTTAACATTTAAAAATCCTAGTTCATTTTTATATCTCTGCCTTTATTACCCTTTACTTCATTATATATATCTGTAAGATGCAAGTATTTTTTTAAATTCTAAGTTGTAATGTCAAGGTTTCCTTAGTGGTTTTTACTAGAAGCCCTGTGGCTTTTGTCATGCTTTGAGTGTTGACATGGTGGTGTTGTCACTGTAAATCCTTCCGACAAACATATATTAAACACCCCCAGAATTCATATTGCTTTATTAAGATCTGTTTTTAGTAGGCTTTGTTGGGTTTGTCGTATCCTTACGTGATTTTAGTCTTGTGCAAAAAAATTCTATATGTATATTGAACATATGCCAAAAATAATTTATGATGAGGTAAGTAAGTGAAGTAGTGATTTAAGATACAGAATTTTATTTTAGTGGCCTTTTTTAAAGTCATGCTTATAGTCCTCAAAACTTTTTTAAAAAAATCAGTGTTATTAAGGTATAATTTATATACCATAACATGGACTCATCTGATATATAATAATTTTCAGTAAATTTATAAAATTATGCAGCTCTTGTCTTGGGATTTTTATTTTAAAAATTACAAATCAATATTTTAAAGACATTTGGATTTTCTTGTTTCTTCAAAATCTCTGTCACCATCCCTTGGCTTACTTGGTGTGTCCTCAGTGTCTTCCTGGGTCAGGTTTTGGGGCGAACTTGGCTTTTTCCTCAAGTGTTCCTTTTTCTCTTTTGTCTTCTTTCACTCCTTTTTTCTTTCTGACTTTTAATTTTCATGCCTTAGCTGGTGGGTTCTTTAGTGCATGCGTGCGTGTGCGCGTGTTGTGTTACCCCGTGGGGAGGAATGGCACGGTGCTTTGGTGCTCTTCCAGCTCGCAGTGGAGGAGGCATTGTTGGCCTTAGGGAGACTAAAAGGTGCTCAGACAGCAGGTGACTCACTGCTTGTGAGCGGAAGTGGGGAAGTAGAAATTTGAACTGAAGATACCAATACTGTGTTAGCCTTTGGCTTTTGTCATCAGAAAAGGAGGAGCTGAATCATGACTTCCATTTTCTTTTCTGGCTTTTTTGTAAGTTTCCATAGAAGTATTTGATGTTAAGGTTGTAGGTCATTGGAGTGAGTTTCTACTTTTGTTAAAAAGAAATGTACTACTTGGTTTCCATGCGGAGCCCTAAAGACACGCTCACTACCTAAGGCATCTTTCCACATCTTAGCAGTTGGAATCCAGTTCGTGAGGCAGTTTATAAACAGTCTTCATGGAAGAGAAGCCCTAAGTATATTTTCTGTATCTTTGTCTCATGTGACTTTAAAAATTCTAGTGTAAGCTAAATAATTGTTTCTATAAAACGGAGCTATTGTAAGATGGAGAAGCAAGAGCACAAAAAGTTGTTTTAAATGAATGAATGAAAAAAGAATTAGAATGTGGTGAAGAAAGAAATACATGTGTTGGAGATGAGTACGCCTGATCCTCTGTGTCTTGTGAGATTCAAGCAGCCATTGTTGAATGTCAGAAAGTAAAAGTTGAAAAATCCTTATTAATTTCTGTCCATAATCTTCTTTTGAACAGTAAATAAATCTCAGCATTCTGTGTTATTTTTTTCAAAAGTTTTCAATCACTGTTTTTCCCTTCCCCAAGAATGAGACTGTCTCAAATCTAAGCCTGGGTTCTGTGTCAGGCACCTAGAAAGTGTTCATTTAACGCTGAATGTGGTAAAGCTGACATTAGAGGAAAGAAGTTAATACTGCCGTCCATTTAATTCACAGCCCCTCTGTTCCTTCTATTTTTCTTCACGGGATTTTCACTTCTGAGGAAGAGAAAAATGAGTTATATCACTTAAACAAATATTAAAGAGTGAGAGTTGGACAGAGATATCTTAAAGCCTGGGATTACTTCCTCAGCCTTTGATTTGAACTAAAACTCCTACAACTAAAAACAAGTATATAGTTGAATGATTAGAGTCTGTTAAGTGCTTAAAATGCAGTGATCTGTTATTTGACCTTTTTTTCTATTAATGATAATCACAAAATGCATATTTCTATTGGGAAAGCTGGTGTGACTGTACCACACTTTAGATAACTGAAGAGTTTCCTTTTCCACATTGCTTTTTCACTCCCCTTCCTAGCTCAGAGGTAGAAATCGTGGTCCCCCTAATTAATGTCAGTAAATGCGTGTTGGAAGGTTTTGGAGTGGAGACCAAGTTCTTTGAGTGAAATTCAGCATCTAGTGGATAGCTCTTTTGTGCATGAAGTAGTGTGACAGCGGAACTTTGCATTCACTTCTATAGGTTAAAAAATTGAGCTTAATTTCTTAGCTGGCCAGAAGCTTCAGCCACGCAGAGCTTCTTTCACTGCACATCTCTTTGGTTCTTAATCCACTAAACCTAGCTGAAAAAAGTCTGGAGAGAGATGTACTTTGGTCTAATTTGAGTCTCTAGACACTAGTGTTCAAGTGTACTTAATTGGGAACAATGTTTATATTTTGGAGGTCTTTGAATAACCTCTGTGTGTGTCCAGATGCGAGTGGCCTCCCCCATGTAGAGACGTCTGTGCTACTTCCTTTTTCCACTGATTGTTAACAAAGATTACTAATACTACTAGTTCTTGCCCATTCTCTTTAGAAGTGAGTCGTGGCTGGAGGAGTTTTCCTATAGTATCAATCCTAGTTTTCCTAAAGAAAAATAGCTTAAACTTGCAGTGAGTGTATTGCCTGTAATTGGAATATGTGAAGTTCTTTTTTTTTTTTTTTTTTAAATTTCTTAAATGCAACATTTCATGACAGGAATTAATACATGGTCACTTTTCACATTACCAGAAGACGCAAATGTTGAATTCTCAATGACCTTCTTTCTAGTACCAACCGTAATGAATATCAGGAGAAAAATTTAACAGTAAATACTTGTAGGAAATAACTTCCAAAAAATGTTCTTTTCTGTGGATGGCAAAGAGCAAAGGGAGTACATAGAAGGCAAGATGGTTTGGGTTTTGTTTTCTAGTGAAGATATTAGTCAAAGTATGCTACCAACTTGCACTTAAAGCTCTCTTACACTTCTACTGAGTGTAAGAGAGCGTCCTGGGTGTTCTGCAAGAGGCCGGGACAGGGCCCCACATTGGGGTGCGCAGTTACTCCTGGGCATGGTGGACCTAGCTGCACCCCAGATTCCAAGTCGTCTGCCACCTGGGGCTTTTGTTTGGAAATTTGGAGCCCCTCCAAATGCTGTTGTGCATGTAACTGAAGTTAGAGGACGTGTTAGGGAAAGCTGTTCTGAGTAGAAAACAAATAATTGTATTCTGTTTCTGATCTTCATTTATAGCACCAGCAACAAGTGGTGCAGGCTGTGGAACGGGCCAAGCAGGTGACCATGGCAGAACTGAACGCCATCATCGGGGTACGTGGCCTTTCCATTTTAGCTCTGATCTTAGTGTTTGTCGTCAGCTCTCTCTCACTTTCTCTTTAGAAATTTTGTTCTACCCGAAGGGCAAAGCGCCATAGATGACCCTGAAATGAAATTTATCACTTTGCCTTCGGTCTCATGTGAAGTTTGTGGCTGCCTCAGACTTTGATCCTACTCTTACCAAATAAAATCAGTGTCTCCATAAACTCTCAAAGGAGGCTGGATAGTTTGCATTTTTCGTGTTTCTTGCCTCTGTAATCAGCTGTTCCTTCCCTAGATCAGATCACACAGTACCCATCGCCCTGATATTTAAATAACCCAACCTCTTTTATCTTTTGTCAAATGATAGAGTATCTTTATACACATCTCCTCTACTATGTTTTGTCCTGCGATTGGTGTTTCTGGAGAGCCAGTGTCCATTTGTAGTAGGAATAATAGATGAACTGCAGATTTTGAAAAATCAGTGGCCCAGTTAGGGAATCCTTCCTAGCAATAGTGGTGTTCATTATGAATAGAAATTCTGCTGGAATTGATGGTTTTTGGGAAGTCACTTCAACTCCTTACATTTTTGTTTCCTCACATTTTTTTTTTAAATTTAAATTTTTAAAAAAATGTATTTAGTACAGGGTCTCACTACGCAGCTGGGACTTATAGTGACCCTTCTTTCTCAGCCTTCCCAGTGCTGGGATTATAGGGGTGCACTACCACCCCTGGTTTCAGTGGCCCCCTCAGTATGCCCAGGGGTGGGGCTGGCTTGTCCTGTGGTGTTTGGGATCAAGCCCTGGTCCCTGCGCTTACCTAAACAGAGGCTTAGTCCGCTGAGCTATCTCGCTGGCCCTTGTCTTCTCACATTAACAAGTAGTAAAACATGGTACTGAAACAGAAATAGTAAGGGTGAGGAATCGTGGCTGTGAAGAGCACAGTATTCACTTTGCAGGTAGTGCACGCAGTTCCTTCACACAGGGTTCTGAGGCAGACGCCAACTGTACTTTGCTCACTCTGCCCCTCCTAATGCATACTTCCTTTTGTGTATAGGTTGTACACAGAAGTCTTTTCTCTTTTTCCCCTTCGTGTATCAAACACACTTTGAAATGCTAATTATTCCATTTACTTTCATTAAAATTCAAATTGCTAAGTGAAGTTGCAGATAAGGGTCTCTGATAATCCATCTGAAGTGAGGATGCTGCTTCAATTATGCCTCTGTCTTCTAACAAGGAAATCAGAACGCTGGATCACTGCCGATTGTGGGGACGATTGTGGGGACAAGGTCCTCTGATTGTAGCTTGTTTTTTAATGGGCTATTTGGAGCTCTATTTTATGTCCCTCTGACCATAAGAAAAAATGGTAGGAAATTAGCAGATGTGATAAATGGAGGAGAGTAAGAGTGCCCCTTGAAAAGAAGAGGCCGAATCCGAACAAGCCAGGTAGAATTGGAAATAACGTTTGCTATAATTTTCTGTGCTAGGTGGGGGCAGGGAGCTACTAGAGATGAATGTGTTCCACAGTTATTTCCCGAAACTCCTGAAAACGACAGTATGTTCAGTTTTGTTTTGTTTTTGTAAATTGAAAGAGCTTCAGTTTCAGAAGTGAAGCATCTGTGCGTGCACCCAGCCCTGCTTGTCTGGGGCGGGGGGCGGGGGGTGCGCGCACACGCGCGCGCACACACACGCTTTCTTCTGGGTGTGGTGTGGGTATCTTTGTCACTGGATCTCTCACAGATCGGGGTGATGGTACCTACATTTCTCATCCTCTAGTCTTCAGGAAGTAGAAGTCTAGTGGTGCCTGGTTAGAAGAGGCAGGAAGAGCTCTCCTCCAGCTTAGCCTTTATCTTTGTATCAATGGCCTAGAGCCAGACAACCACCCTGCCTTATGTCCAGGTGGCAGGCTTTAAAAAAAGAAAAAAATGGAATCCTTCTCTGTTGCTTTTTCTTCTTCTTCTCCTTTTTCTTGTCAGATCTTTTAGTGACCATAGTGAAAAGATTCAACTCAACCAAAAGTGCATTATTTTGTGGTGGATATTGGTTAAAAATGTGAGGAAAGATAAAAAATCCAGACAAGTTCCCTTCTCTTCCTTCGTCACATCAAATGTATTTTTAATATTGTTTTATATCTGTTTCATTTTTACAGACTTGTTTTGGTTGGGATGACAGATTGTCTTTTCTTGGGGAAATGATTTATTAGATTATAGCCAACAGACATTGTATATATCTGGATTTAATTATTCAAATAAGTCTAAGTTTCTGATCTGAAAGCTTATTTGGACTCAGTAGACCTGTGACCTCTCTAAGCAGCCTGTGCTGTGTGTGTGGTGCAGCTTGTGGTCATCTAACCTGTGCTTGGGCAAAAGATTGGATTCGGAATCACATAGTGGGTCTGCTCTGAAAAATAGGTTGCCCTAGGGTTAGGGAAGCACACCCTGGAGCGGGGAGAAGGAGCCAGTTACAGAGGCCCTCAGGGAGTTTGGGCTTGCTGATTCTTTGGTCTTCCTAGCGCTGGCCCTCTGGTAGTTTCTGGAATGGTAACCCTGTGGATTTTAGATGCATGAGTTGTGTATGCTCTTGAGCATACACATGTTGTATTTCTGACCTAGTACCAAAAATGAGGAGGGCTCAGATTTGGAGTTTTATTTCTTTCTTTGAAGAACACACTTGACAGTGCTATTCTGTGCTGAGGAAATGGTAGTTCTTCTCCCGGGAGGCAGAGACCCACCCCAGTCCATGCAGACTTTTATTTATTTATCACTACACATGTGTCTGTTTTATATGTATGCACATCATCCAGACGGGAGCAGTGTTCCCAGATTTAATGAAATCTGATGAAGCACCTTTTTAACTCTGCAATATTATTCTACCTTCATTGGTAAATGAGCCAAATCAGTGATCCATGCAGTTTAAATGCAAAATGCTGAAGTGAGCCCGAAACCTGGAGAGGCGGCTGTTCTCCTGACAATAAGCTAGTTGTGTTTAATGGAATGAAACACAGTTATAATGATTTCTTTCACAGGTCATGTTCAGTTTAAAACTGTTGATAGATTGAAATATGTTAAATATCATTTATCTTTTATTTATAAGGAAGAAAAGCAGGAAAATTCCTGTGTTGTATTTTATAGCTAATTTCTGTGTTTTTGTTTCACATTTCCTTGATGCTGTCCCCCAGTTCCCCTAAATGGGCTGGGGGACTGTTATAAATCTACCCAGATCTTGTCATGTGTCCTACTAGCCACTGTGTTTTTAAATTAGAATCTCTGCGAGATCACACTGTTGGAACAACACAGAAATTGTAGTTTTAAATCAGTAATATGATCTAATTAGAAATGATGTTTTCATTTCCTGTATTATTAAATTGAGTCATCTGACTATCTTAAAATGTTTTCTGAATCCATTACACTATATAATCAGCGCATGCTGTGTGAATGGGGTTGTGCTGAAGAAAGGAGCCTAACTCGGAACCTCGGAAGAATTGGAAAGAGAAAACTACCATTAAGGAAAAAAAAAAGTGGTTTAGTGTGAACATTGGAAACGAAAATGTTTGGCTTACAAAATTAAAACAGTGTGGTTCTTTTGGAAACCTTCTTACCACCTTTTTGACCCTAAATCTTGGAGGGAAAAAAAAATGAGAAGCATGTGCATTAAAATAAAAAGCCCCCCACCGAAGTCCCTTAAGAGCAGGTATGCCGTGTTGCTGCAGGAAAATGCAGCTTAGCACTAGAAATGCTGAACCTCAATTTTTAGCAGTGACATTTTAATGATAGGAAGTCTGCAAAATTATTTGCCATCAATTGTGAAGGCAATAACAAGCCTTGGTGGTTTTTCACACTCTCTGTGTTAAGTGCTTTCAGAATGACAGCGTAAACTGTGTTAGAGAACTCCAAGGAAGTAAAACTGATTAAAATGTTCATGCTTGAATGGTGCTGATGGAATAGTTCATTTGGACTTTCTCTACCTCCTGCAGCTCAAGCTGAAATATTAAAATTCAGTGGATTTAAATCTCTCTCCTCTCAGCTCAGGAAAAAAACATTACATTTTAATAGGTTTTAAACCCATAATTCATTGGTTTGGAGCAGCACTATTAAATCTATTTAAATATTACTTGTATTACTAAGGAAATGATTTAAATGACTTTGCCTTTACCTCCTGTGTGTTTGAGTTTAAAAAAAGAAAGACAATACCTTGGAGGGGTTTTTCCCCACTTGTAGCATTTTGTTTTATTGTCCTTGTCATAGGATCGTCTCTTATTTATACATCTGTGTGTGCATCGTTTCATTCATTCATTCTCGATGGGTATTCTGGCAGGAGAGTCTTGCAGTATGACAGTTTTAAAGCAGTATCCTTCCTTTTCCATTATAGATTTCAGAATTGCCATTCTAAATGTCAAAGGCATTTGGATGAGCCATTGTGGTAATTTCCACAAATTAGCCATTAGGCAAAAGCCTAGAAGGGACAGATGTGTGGTGAGACTTAAAGCAAGTGTGAGTGCTTTGTCCCCTCCTTTGCATTGCTGGAGACGTGGCTGTAGACAGAGCCTCCAATGACACAAACCTTGAAATCAGATTTTAAAGTACTACTTTTTCACAAAAATGAAAATGGATTAAAGTACCCAGGAACAGTGTTTTCATTCCTTCGTGTTTGTTCACAGAGAGCTTTCCAAAAGTTCTGTTGACTGTGTTGTGCTTTTGGCTACACCCTGAGCTGCCCTGCGTGGCGCTTTCTACCTTTCAGTCCTTTTCTCTTGCCATTGTCCCTGCACCATTAGTCCCAGGGCTTAGGTACCTGAGTGAAGGGCTTGCTTCTTCCCTCAGTAGTTTTTTTAGGGAGGGGAGTGCTTTGTGGGAATCCACCCTTCCAAGGATCCCAGCAAGGTGCAGTTTGGAGTTTGTAGACTCAAGACAGACTCTAGAATACCTTCTAGTTTGAATTTGCCTTCTGTGTAGATTCACTTTCCCTAGGCCCCCACTCTCCTCTGGGATCATTTTGAAATTATCTGTGGCCAAACCC